GGCAGCACATATACTAAAATTGGAACGATACAGAGAAGATTAGCATGGCCCCTGCACAAGGATGACACGCAAATTCGTGAAGTGTTCCATATTTTAAAATAAATAAATAATAATAATAATAATAAGTAAAAATAAAATACAAATTTTAAATGACATTTCAGGTGGTCAGTAGCTGAGAGTGGCTGGTGGCTGTGCCCTGTCCTGTTTGTTGTGTGACGTATCTGGTTGTTCTCTGCTGCGTCAGTCATCCAGGCTGCAGCCAGCTGGTCTGGGACAGGAAATTGCACACGGGGGGCCCAAAGCTCTGGTAGCTTTGGTACCTTTGCCAAATCCTCTATTTTAATTCATCAGCACCACCCACTCTCTCCAAAGTAGACCACATTCAGGCCACTCTTCCTCTTCTGTACCTGCTCCCAGAGCCCCTTTCATCTACCAGCACAATCACCTGGCCCTGTGGCCCAAGACCCACAAGAAGCCCAGTGATGGGTCCCTGAGGCTCCTCTCTCCCCCACCCCACTCCCGCAATTCCCCACTAAGGAACTGCTTCTAAAGAACATCATGGCCTCAGGTAGCCGCAGGGCCTGAGGTCAGGGATCAAGCTTCAGATCCTCCTGCCTCAGGGTGATGGAGCAAGCACTCCCAAATCCGCTCTCACCAAGACAGACGGGCCTCCCTGCCCTGTGGGGCAAGTGCTGGGCCTTGGCACCCTCAAAGCTCCTCCCCACACCTATCTCCCTTGGAGTTGCTCGCCTGAACCCTGTTCCCCAATGTGGGACCAGCTGCAGTCTCTGGGGAGCTTCTAACCACGTCCAACCAGTCTGAACCCAGGTGTCACCACTCAAAGCCTTCGCTCCCCTTGACACTCCTGGTGACTTAAATCTCAGGCCCCCAGATGGCCGGAAGGGCTGGGCAGCATGCAGACCCCCGGCTCTGGCAGCCATAGGATGGCCACCTGCCACCACCTGTTTTGCCAAACTTGGGTTCAGCTTCGCAAACAGATTCACCCACAAGAAGCCCAGTGATGGGTCCCTGAGGCTCCTCTCTCCCCCACCCCACTCCCGCAATTCCCCACTAAGGAACTGCTTCTAAAGAACATCATGGCCTCAGGTAGCCACAGGGCCTGAGGTCAGGGATCAAGCTTCAGATCCTCTGCCTCAGGGTGATGGAGCCAGCACTCCCAAATCCGCTCTCACCAAGACAGGCCTCCCTGCCCTGTGGGGCAAGTGCGGGGCCTTGGCACCCTCAAAGCTCCTCCCACCTATCTCCCTTGGAGTTGCTCACCTGAACCCTGTTCCCCAATGTGGGACCAGCTGCAGTCTCTGGAGAGCTTCTAGCCACTTCCAACCAGTCTGAACCCAGGTGTCACCACTCAAAGCCTTCGCTCCCCTTGACACTCCTGGTGACTTAAATCTCAGGCCCCCAGATGGCCAGAGGGGCTGGGCAGCATGCAGACCCCCGGCTCTGGCAGCCATAGGATGGCCACCTGCCACCACCTGTTTTGCCAAACTTGGGTTTAGCTTCGCAAACAGATTCATCAAACAATGTTGTCTTCACAGGCATTCTGTTAGTTATTTATTCGGGGTCCTGACCCCCCAGCTTGGTGCCCTGGGTGTCACTCCTCCTGCCACGCCCCCTCAGCTTAGCTCAGCGGCCAGCAGGGGATGGAAAACCTGATGAACTGCAACAGCCCTTCCTGCTCCAGAGCCTTCTATGTGGTTATTTATTAAACAGACCCACCCAGCCTTCCCCCATCCCAAGACTCACCAAAACAGGGAGCTACCCCAAGGGGCAGGACTTGGGCTGACATTTCAGGTATGGGGCCCTCCAGCACCAAAGCTGGGTGGGGGGACCTGACAGGGGTCCCAAAGGACCCAGCCCTGCTCTCATAGCTGCAGCCCACTCCCAAAGAAAGAGCAGCTCGAGGCCCCCAACTGACCAGTGATGCCAGTGAGGGGAGCTGGGCCAGGCTGGTGAGAAGGGTGTTCCTGGAGGGAAAAGGCATCTCCAGGGCGCCCTCTCCTGGACACCCTCCTTGGCCCAGGTCCCTGCAGAGCACCAGTGTTGTCATGGGGCAGGGAAGGCCAGGATGTTGGGTCTTGGAGAGGGGGCTGGGACCCTCCGTGGGAAGGCGGCTTCCTGCCGTGGCCCGCTGAGGACTTCCTCCCTGGTGGGGACAATGCCGGGAAGGGGATCCGAGGGCAGTCTGCAGGAAGCCCAGGCCAAGGGTTGGGGGGAGGAGGGATTGAGCAAGGACCTCAGCCCAAAACCAGGCGGCTCCCATGGACTGAGTCTTCCAGGGACAACACCACATGTCCCAGATGCAGGTGTGAAACTGGTTCAGCCCACAGCTACTGTTGCCCTCAGCCTTCCAGGGGTCTCCCCCTCACCCCTCCCTGGGGTCCACCCAGGCTCCTGCCCCATCCCTTTCTTCTCCCTGCCCCCCCATCGTCTGTCTCTTTCTCCACTCCCTTCTTTTCCCTTTCCCCAGGCTTCACCTCTGCCCAGAACCTTCTTCATCTCTTCAGCCCACCTGTCCTCAGGGTGGTGGCACCGGCCACCCCACCCACCCCAGGTCACAGGGTTCTCAGTGCTCTCGTACAGCGATGTGAACCTGAATGTGAAGATGACCCACCACTTACACAGACAGAGCGCAGATCTGGGAGCTTGGGGTGGGCAACAGTGGGGGAGGCAGGGCCCAGAGAGCCGGTCACGCCCTGCAAGGGGCCGCAACTACCAGGGCAGCAGGAAGTAGGGTCAGAGGCTGGGAAGAGGCCCATTCACCAGGCCAGCGGGTTAAGGGCCCAGCTTCCCGAGAAGGGCCCACACCTCTGGGCTGGGGAGGACCGACACTGGAGTCCATCTTCCTGTGTGGCCATTCCCGGCACCAGGGCAGGAGGGGGGTGGGGACCAAGGAAGATGGACACTGAGTTCACACACATGGACCCTTGCCTCTTGAGGCCTCAGTCCCTCAGCCTCCGTGTCTCCTTCTGTTCCCAGCCCCTCAGAGCCTCCGTTTCTGCCCCTGACACGAGGCCGGGGACACACAGACAGGCAGAGTGGTGGTGCTGAGAAATCCCATCTCCGGGCCGCCCAAGGGACACAGGCACGGGCCACACCTTGAGTTTGGATTCCTCCGTTCCTCCTGTGTGTCTGCTCTGATGGGGTCTGGGGTCAGGGGGGCCGCGGCGGACAAGATCCCCCGCCTTCAGTACTGGGAGTTCAGGGCTCTGGGGAAAGCACCGCTGGATGGAGTGAGACGGAGGAGAGGGCTGTGGGGAGGTGGCCGGGGAGGACTCCGAGGCGGCAGCATTCGGGCAGAGACGGAGCAGGGCGAGGGCACAGCCGTGCCAAGGCCTGGTCCCCAAGGGCTCTAGCGGGCTCGGAGTTGGGCTTTTCCCTTATGCCATAGGCAGCCTTGGGGTGTCTGTGTGCCCAGTGGTGACCGGGCGGGAAGGGCCGACGGGGAAAGGGGAGCGTGGGAAGGTCGGGCGCCGGGAAGATGAGGTCTCAGGACTGGCTGCTGACTGCTGTGGTGGGAAGCCTGGCCGGGGGCCCTTCCCAGGCCGCCTGCGGACCCCAGACGCTGGTCTCCCGATGGAACGGGGTGTGGAGGCACCCTCCGGCCGGGGGCTCCCGGCCTCCACCAGCTGCCCCTTGGACAGAGGGGAGCATGCTCAGAGGTCGGCCCTGCCGTGTCCCAGGCACGGGTGGGCCTCAGCTCCATCGCCCCAGGAGACCCCCACCACCGGGAGGACCCCCTCCCCCGGAACAGAAGGTTCCATCGGGAAAGACCCTCGCCCCCAGGGA